CTTCACTGCACCTGCTTTAGGGACGTTAATAAATTCATACATACAAAAGAGTGGGCTGCTTAGAAGTGAACCATGCCGTTTTTTACCACCTTGTATAATAAAGTTTGAATTTCTTAAAAGACACAATTATGGCTGGCTATATAGTTGGTAAATTTCAGCCTTCTGGAGTCATGTTTACCCTGATTTTAGACATTTGAATGTTGCTTTTTCTCATATCATCACATGCTATTGTTCACTGCTGAATCTCTATCACCTGACACTTAAGGAGGGCACTTAATATCTATTGATAATTTGAACATGAAAATTTGTCTGCTTATTACTAGAAAGCCATCAACTCCATAATTCCTAAGACATGACCATGGGATATCACTAGGAAGACTAAAGTTCCATTTTGTTCTACATGGGTTGTTTTTTTTCTCTTCTAGAACTTACTTACACTTAGAAGGTAAGTCAACTGAAATAACCAAAAAGGACGTATCAAAGGAAAACTTGATGACAAGTTTTTAGAGAAACACAATAGGAGGGCCGGGCGCGGTGGCTCAAGCCTGTAATCCCAGCACTTTGGGAGGTCGAGGCGGGTAGATCGAGACCATCCTGGTCAACATGGTGAAACCCCGTCTCTACTAAAAATACAAAAAATTAGCTGGGCATGGTGGCACGTGCCTGTAATCTCAGGTACTCAGGAGGCTGAGGCAGGAGAATTGCCTGAACCCAGGAGGCAGAGGTTGCGGTGAGCCAAGATCGCGCCATTGCCCTCCAGCCTGGGTAACAAGCGAAACTCTGTCTCAAAAAAAAAAAAAAAAAAAAAAAGAGAAACACAATAGGATTAAAATTTAAATCTGATTGAGCTATGAGGAATTTTAACATGTTTATTACCAGTATCAATGCACTTAAGTAATTTAATGGGACTAGCACCCTTATTCTATTTGTGATGTTGGTATGAAGAACCTGGATATTTTTTCTTAATTTGCTTTTCACTTCTTTTTAATACAGTTTACATTTAATAAGGAGGAGACCTGTAAGCTTGTTTGTACAAAAACATACCATACAGAGAAAGCTGAAGACAAACAAAAGTTAGAATTCTTGAAAAAAAGCATGTTATTGAATTATCAACATCATTGGTAAGGCATGAAGATTTTGGATTTTGGGATTTATCCTTTTCCATATGAAACCTCTTTGCATTGACTGTATAAATTACTGACTATGTAAAAGATAGCAAATTAATTGATTTCCTTTTTTGTTACTAGTGGTAGTGACTCTTAAAGATGACAACATCATTTAGAGTATCATCTTTTAACTGTGTGTAGATTACTGTAATATCTGGCACTTCTTTCAGTACATAGATCTGGTACATAGAGTAGCTATTTTTATTTGTATACGGGCATGCTTTGGGGATACTGCAGGTTCAGTTCCACAGCACTGCAATAAAGCAGATAGCACAATAAAGTGAGTCATATAAAGTTTTTTGGTTTCTCAGTGCATATGAAGGTTATGTTTATACTACATTTAGTCTATTAAATGTGCAATAACATTATTTCTAAAACAACTCTGTTAAGTACCTTAATTAAAAAATACATTATTGCTAAAAAGAAAAAAAAAAAAAGGCTGACACAAAAACATGAAGCAAACACATGCTGTTGAAAAAATGGCACTGATAGATTTGCTCAATGCATGAATGCCACACACCTTCAATATCTAAAAAAATACCACATCTGCAAAGCAAAATAAAGTGAAGTGTAATGAAACGAAGTATGCCTGAATAGTTATTATGCTTTGAGAAAAAGGGCCTGGATCAGTCTTCTAGTGAAATCGTTATTTTATACTTGTGGGCTGTGAAAAAAATCACAGGAAAACAAAACTGAACATTTGTTTGATAAATAGCATCTACTTCAAATAAAACCCATTTTGCTTAATCTTTCATTTTGTAAACATTAACAGATTCTGTACCAGTTTGTATCAGAATCAAAAAGCATTTAAAACTGTCCTGTTTTTCTTTCCAAAGTATGATGTACTTATTATAGAATATTTAAACATAGAAACTTTTTTTTTTGTCTTGAGATGGAGTCTCACACTGTTGTCCAGGCTGGAGTGCTGTGCCGTGATCTCAGCTCACTGCAGCCTCCATCTCCTGGGGTCAAGTGCTTGCACCTCAGCCCCCTGAGCAGCTTGGATTACAGGCACCTGCCACCATGTCCAGCTAATTTTTGTATTTTTAGTAGAGACCGGGGTTTCACCATCTTGGCCAGGCTGGTCTCAAACTCCTGACCTCAAGAGATCCACGCCCCTCAGCCTCGCAAAGTGCTAGAATTACAGACTTGAGCCATCACACCCAGCCAAACAGAATATTTTTAAAGACTCAAAATCCAACCTTTGATGTATAAACATTGTTACTCTTCTGAGTAATTTTGCTTGGAAATGCCTTTATTCTATGGGGATCATAGTTTACATATGTTTTGCCTTTTCTAGAAACTGTAAGATGCTTTCAGTGTTGAACAGGACTGTCTTCATGCACTTCCTTTTGGATGTTTGTCCTGTCAATATATTAGATCACAGGAACCTTGGATCTCAGCTGAGACCTGACCAGGTCCTGTGGCCTCGTATTCCCTCCTACCTGTTAGTTCTCCTCCTCCTCCACCCCACCCAGCCGTCATACGCATAGAACCTTGGGTCCTGTGCACAGCCGTGAACTAGTCTGTGATGAGAAGGGATCAGTCTGGCCAAACCTGGGTAACATACCCCCCATCCCCATAGGAATGAGTTCCCTGTAGGTTATTGGGGCTCTGCTGGAAGGAAGGAGGCAGTGCTGTTAAAAACCTGCCTCTTATGCTTGTGTCAGTTTCTTTCTCATTTGATCCTCAGTGCAAACAGGAAGTTAAAGCCTCCTTCATGTCCCCATTTCTTTGGTTTCTGGTAAATGAGCTTTTTTCTCCTAAACTGCTATAGGAATACTGCTTATTTGCTAGATCAATGCATATCAATTGTTTATCAACTCAGGATATGTTTAGTTATTCATAAGTAATTGAAATTTCCCTTGATGGTTTTTTCTTTTTTTTTTAATCTTCAAAAAAGTGTTTAAGGCTCAGTTCTTCTCATATTAGCCCTATCCTCCTATGTTTACTACAGTAGCTGCCAGTTTGTTGACTGAATGAAAGAATGACTCTTAAGGTCTATGGGTGATTTTTAGCTCTTTCTTCTACTCTTTGTGCTTAGAATACTATTTAGTCAGCCTGTTGTGGTGGCTCACACCTATAATCCCAGCACTCAGGAGTTCAAGACCAGCCTGGCCAACATGGTGAAACCCCCATCTCTACTAAAAATACAAAAATTAGCCAGGTGTGATGGTGGGTGCTTATAATCCCAGCTACTTGGGAGGCTGAGGCAGGAGAATCACTTGAACGAAAGAATACTGTTTAATCTTGCTCCCGAAGGTAATAGAAATAGCCTCCTCACAGGAAAGTACTTAGATATGTTTTTAACTCATTTATGATGTAGTTAACAGAGATTTTGTTATGATGTCAAGATGCTTAATAATAAGAAAGAATAAATAATTTAAAATAGTGAACATAGTAAAAGCATTTGATAGTAAAATAATACTGAACGATTTGTAATCAGTATATCAATTGCAAACTTATTGTGCTAAAAAAAGTAACCTGGGAAGGTGCTGATAAATAATTTTGCAGCTGAGTCAGAAAAGTTGATGATTTTGGCCGGGCGCGGTGGCTCAAGCCTGTAATCCCAGCACTTTGGGAGGCCGAGGCGGGTGGATCACGAGGTCAAGAGATCGAGACCATCCCGGTCAACACGGTGAAACCCCGTCTCTACTAAAAATGCAAAAAATTAGCTGGGCATGGTGGCGCGTGCCTGTAATCCCAGCTACTCAGGAGGCTGAGGCAGGAGAATTGCCTGAACCCGGGAGGCGGAGGTTGTGGTGAGCCGAGGTCGCGCCATTGCACTCCAGCCTGGGTAACAAGAGCGAAACTCCATCCCAAAAAAAAAAAGAAAAGTTGATGATTTTAAGTATAACCCTTAAATCAGTTTCAGTATATATTTAAAAAATGTTGATTCACATTGATAAATTTCTTGAAACCATTATTTGAGTATATTCTTTTCATGACCTATTTCAGAAAGATTTTACTATATAACTTGATTTTAAGCATAGACAGTAGAGTTAATAGATAAAACATCATATGCCCATGGGAATTTATAGTATTCTGTTGCAGAGTTTTATTGTGAATGCAGCACGTTTTATTTTATACTTGGTACTAAGACATATTGGGGAGAGCTTAATCATTTTCTAAATCATGAAGCAATATATGCCTATAAAAAAACACAAGCAGTACAAGAAAATATTAAGTAAAAGGAGGTCTTCAGCCACTCCCAGCTTCATTTCTATTCTGCAGAGCTAACAATATTATTTCTCATGTATGTTTCTAGATTTTCTGTGCATATGGAGGTATAGCAAAGCGTATGTCCCTTTTAAAAATAATGTAACTAAAATGTTATTGTACACATTTATTCTGCAACTTGCTCATTTTAAGAAAATATGGACTTTTTTCAGGTCAGGTAACATTGTAAATCTATAACCGCCTCTGTCTTTTTCAGAATTTCATAATTCACTGCATGAATGAATCATAATTTCTTCCCCATGACATTGGAACTGTGCGCTAATTTACTGTTCTCTATAAAGAACAGTTAATAATAGTTTGCTTCCATTTTGTTTTTTGTTTTTTGGTTGTTTTTTGAGACGGAGCCTTACTCTGTTGCCCGGGCTGGATGCAATGGCACGGTCTTGGCTCACTACAACCTCCTCCTCCCTGGTTCAAGCGATTCTCCTGCCTCAGCCTCCCAAGTAGCTGGGATTACAGGCGCCCACCACCATGCCTGGCTAATTTTTTTTTTTTTTTTTTGTATTTTTAGTAGAGATGGGGTTTCACCATGTTGGTCAGGCTGGTCTGGAACTCCTGACCCGATGATCTGCCCGCCTCGGCCTCCCAAATTGCTGGGATTACAGGCATGAGCCACCATGCCTGGCCTAGTTTCTTATATACTTTGACGAATACTTTTTAGTATTATTTGGGGCTTTAGTCAATTAATTTGAGGATCTTACTGTCTTACTCTGTCAGTAGCTGCTAAGCTACTTCGTGATTCTTGAAACTACTGCTTTGATACCAGCACCAGACACTTAAACTCTCTTCAGATGTGCTCTGTGTGGTTTGTGATCCTACTTCTTGCCTGAATTTCTAAAAGTTGATGACTTTTTTTTAAATAAAAGTATAATTAACTAGTTATCAGAGTACTTAACATTTTTTAGTGTCATAGAACCACTTGACTAGCTTATTGAATTAGAAAGGGGTCTTGAAGATACTTTAGTGAGTTCCAATCCCAGATCCCACCAAGTTAGCAAAGGAGAATGATATGCTATTTTCAAAAATTCAAAATCCTAATGAATAGTATAAATGTACTCATGTTAAAACTACATAGAAATGCCAACTTGTTAAATGCCAACTTTCTTTGCTTTAGGCTATAATTTTCTGAGTATTGTGACAGTATGGGTGATTCTGATAAGAAACTTTTGGAATTTATTAGGAAAACAAATTATTAATAATTGCAGCTTGATTGGTAGAAGTGTTTCAAATGGAGTCCTTGGAGGGCAGAGGAAAGTAAAAGAAAGGAGTTCTTTACGGTAAAAAGTTGAGACTCATTCAGCCTTTATCCCTGTGAGTCTTCTTCCCATATATACTCTGTCAGATTGGAAATAAGAGTTTTAATTTTTGCTGATTTTAGAAATTTAAATAACTTAGGAAGACAGTAATTGAAAATCATGTTCTTTGGCCAGGCATGGTGGCTCACACCTGTAATCCCAGCACTTTGGGAGACCAGGGTATGAGGACCACTTGAGCCCAGGAGTTCGAGACCAGATCTGGCAACACAGTGAGACCCCAGGTCTACAAAAAATTTTAAAAATTAGTCAGTGTGATGGCATGTACCTGTAGTCCCAACTACTTGGGAGGCAGAGATGGGAGGATCACTTGAGCCTGAGAGGTGGAGGCTGCAGAGAGCCGTGATCACACTACTGCATTCCAGCCTGAGTGACAGAGCAAAACCCTGTCTCGGGAAAAAAATATATTCTTTAAGTTTTCTTAAATTTATTCAAAAGGATTTTTTTTGTAATGCTTCCTATTACCAGAAACAGCTGTTATGCCAAGGCAGTATATAAATGATACACTTAGGATGTTGGCTTTTATAAAACCTAAATTGCCCCGTAATTCCTCATTTTGTAACTAGCACTTATGTAGTACTTTTCCTCCAGTATGGTAGCATGAAGATACTATATATTGCTAGTATATATTCATTAATTGAACTTCTTCTTGTATCTAAAAAATTAAAGCAGTTAACTGATTCTTTAAGCTTCCAGAAAATCTGATTTATTCTATGTAACAGTGCATTTATGCTTCTAATATTTTACTGGAACTACTAGCCTGCTGATTATAATAATAAGCAGTTTAATAAGGTGATTCTAAAATTTCATACACTGGGTACTATTAAATAGCATTTAAAGGTAAGGAGACATGTTTTATTAGGTCATTAAGGTACTCCTTGGGTGAATGTAGAATCATAATTTTACTTCCTAAGGCACACATTAATTAACAAATGAAACATGCCCTGAAGTGTCATCTTATGACTGTAATATAGCTGGCATATGTTGAGCAGTTTTTTTATGTGTATCCCACAGTGTACTCTGGGCACAGGGGGCCACATGCTCGGACTGTGATGTAGTTACACAGTGCCACAGAACTTTATTTTCTGCTTTTCTTTTTTAAGTCCTTTTTCACTATAGAACTTGAAAGATTTGGTTCACTAGCTTTGTAGCAGTATTTCTTTTAGAAATAATGTGGATTTATAGTTTTCACAGAATTTTTTTGTGTAACTTTCACTTTTCTTCCTGGCCCTTTAGTTTAATATTTTCCTGTATCTTGTAATTATATTCATTTCCTTTTTTATTGAATTACCTGAATAATGAGAGACCTTTCCTTCTTTGCTGTTTAATAAACTGTTCCTGAGGAACTAGATATGTTGCTTTGTATACCTGTTTAGAGCTTTGAGTGTTCTGCTAAAGGTAAATTACTTTGTAGGGTCTAAATAGTATTGTTAAATTAGCAATTACAATAAATTAGTTTATAAAACTCTTTACTGCATACCATTTATCCTTTCAAAACAGCTATAAAGGTTTATTTTCCCTTTTTTTAAGGCCAGTCAGAGTAGCAAAGGAGCAAAGAAATCTGTCCTGGGTTGTGATCAATTAGTTGTAAACACCACTGCACTGGGACCAGCCTATAGTTTTTTCCGTCACAGTGTATCAGATACTGGCATATTGTATTACTTATGAATACCACATTTTATTAAAATTGTGATTTTTGGAATCTTAAAGCATTTAGATGTTGAAATTTTACAAAGTGATGATACTGATTTGGGTAGTAATTCTTAGTCATGTATGGTGGGTTCTTTTCTAACTTAACTCTTCTTTCCGTATGTAGGATTGTGGATAATATGCCTGTAACATGGTGTTATGATGTTGAAGATGGTCAGAGGTTCTGTAATCCTGGATTTCCTATTGGCTGTTACATTACAGATAAAGGCCATGCAAAAGATGCCTGTGTTATTAATGTAAGTTAATGATAAACTCTTTGCTGCTTTTTAAAATATGGCTTTTTATAGAATCCAGTCTTTACCCAGACAAAAATTGTTATATTTGTTGAATTAGTACAGTTCAGATGTTCTGAGGTACAACCACTTTGATCAAAAACTTATAGCAGATTAATAATGCATAAGTTGAGTTTTAGAGTTGGAATAATTCACATTCAGTTCAATATTTACTGAGAGTATCTGTTGTATGTTAAATGCTATGCTAAGGTCTAGAACTTTGCTCTAACTCGCATAAGTCTTATATATTGCAAAATGTACATAGTAGAGTGTCAAAAAAGACTTCGTTATAAGTTAACTAAATTTGTATTTCAGAAGTCAGATATTATACCCTTTTAAAGACCTACCTGCCCTTGAGGCCATTCTTTTGTGTTTAAAAATAGAGTTATCAAACAGAGACATTATTATAGAAGGTAGTTAGAACTAGGTGGGGATATATATTAAAATAAATTTTGTGTAATCAGATCAACCTGATTTAAATCTCTTATTGGATCTGATCCAATGGAAGTTATGATTAAGCATGAGCTTAATCATAAAACTGATTATATCAGTTAATGCTTTTGTGAGTGCTGACCAGAGACACTTGAATAATTTAGGTTATGTTTTTAGTCTAAATTTACAAGCTTCCAGGGAGGAAAAGTGTTTAAATGTATAAGCTTTAGTGTGTTTGTAATATTTTAAATTTTGCTTTGTTTCATTTTAAATGAAAGTCTAGAAAATACTAGATTAGTGTTTTTTTAATTGGTACTTATTAAATTTTATGTAAAAATTAAAACTTTAAGAAGCATATAACGTCCCCAATTAATTTTTGGCTTAAAAAAAGTTTAGGTATAAAATTGAAACTTGATTAAAATTGCGTTCAAACTTAAATTTTCATACTTGTTTTAGCCCATTTTAAAGTGGTGTGTTTTGACTCTTGTGTAGTCAGTTTTCTACCTTTAACTTTTAAGTTCTGTTCCGCAGTCAGAATTCCATGAAAGAGATACATTTTACATCTTCAACCATGTTGACATCAAAATATACTATCATGTTGTTGAAACTGGGTCCATGGGAGCAAGATTAGTGGCTGCTAAACTTGAACCAAAAAGGTAAATAAGTGTAAGTGAAATTTAGACCCAAAAAATAAGTATTTGGGGCCCAATTAACTTATTCTTTAATCAATATTACGGCATTTCAGGCTTGATTTTACCATAACTTCCTTTGGCGTGATTTGTTATTGAGTTATGGGTTGTCCAGAGAAACCAAATCAATAATTCTTTTCCTGTCATGGTAAGCGGTCAAGCCAATGTGCCTTTGTGTTTTGTTTTTCAGTCAGGAAATTTTGACAGCTTTTCCACTTGACAGTGGGGAAGGAGAAGTTGTGTGGTTGGGACGGTGTTCCCCTTCATAGTGGAAAGAACATTGCCTCTGATATCTGCAGCTTTTCTCTGGTCAGAGGCCCAAATGACCAGAAAGTCCTGTGATTTTTCAAGCCCCTACGCAATATTAGATGCCAGTGTGAAATACCAGCCATTGAACGAGAGCTCTTCAAGTTATTTATTATTTTTTATCATGAATGTACATATCAGTTATTTATGAGATCCTTTTTTAATTCAATATTTCTTTTTTTTCCCATGACTTTTTCTACCCTGAATTTGCCTTTTTCTCATGCACTGGTGGTAAAAAAAAAAAAATACGTGCCACAACAAGGTGTCAGTTAATTTAAACTCCATCAGTATTGGTCGTTTTTTTGTTTTGTTTTTTTAATAAGGTTATTTAGCCAGGCATGGTGGCCCACACCTGTGATCTCAACACTTTGGGGAGGCCAAGGCAGGAGGATCGCTTGAGGTCAGGTGTTCAAGACCAGCCTAGGCAACATAGTGAGACCTTGTCTGTACTGAAAATAAATTAGCTGGGCATGGTGACACATGCCTGTGGGAGGATCACTTGAGCACAGGAGTTTGAGACCAGCCTGGGCAACGTAGTGAGACCCTGTCGCTACAGAAAATAAATTAGCTGGGCATTGTGGCACGTGCCTGTAGGTGGCTGAAGTGGGAGGATCACTTGAACCCAGGAGTTGCAAGCTGCAATGAGCTGAGATCACACCACTGCACACCAGCCTGGGTACAGAGCAAGACCTTGTCTGAAAAAAAAAAAGGCCAGGCATGATGTCTCATGCTGTAATCCCAGCACTTTGAGAGGCTGGGTCCAGGAGTTCAAGACCAGCCTGGTCAACATAGCAAGACCCTGTCTCTACAAAAACTAAAAAATTAGCTGGGCATGGGTGTGGTGGCATACACCGGTAGTCTCATCCACTTGGTAGACTGAGGTGGGAGGATCACTTGAGCCCAGGAGTTTGAGGCTGCAGTGAGCTGTGATGGCACCACCGCACTCAGGCCTGGGTAAGAAAGTAAGACCCTGTCTCAAAAAGAAAAAAAAAGATTATTTAAATGTTCTTCAAGTATAGTGTTTTCAAAAGTATGTTTATAATTTTGTACACATAGTTGTATTTATATGAAGTAAATATTTATGCTTTTAAATTAGACATAAACAATTTCACCTTTGTCAGCAGCATTTTAAAATACGTACAAAACCTCTAACCTTTACTACCCCATTTAAAAAAAAAATGTACTTTATCAGCATCTTGCAAAAATGTTTCTTCCCACAGCTTCAAACATACCCATATAGATAAACCAGACTGCTCAGGGCCCCCCATGGACATAAGCAACAAGGCTTCTGGGGAGATAAAAATTGCCTATACTTACTCTGTTAGCTTCCAGGTGAGTCTATTGTTATCTTTAGTATAACTCCGAAATTGATTTTAAATTTGTTCTACTTAAACTAATGAAAATGTTAATGATTGTGCTTGTCAAATGAAGAAGGTATTAATAAGCTGATTTTTAGGATAATTTGTCAGTGTACTAAGCAATATAATCACTCTTGAAACTAAGTCTTAGTGGCTGGCATGGTGGTTCATGCCTGTAATCCCAGCACTTTGGGAGGCTGAAGCAGGTGGATCACGAGGTCGGGAGTCCAAGACCAGCCCAACCAACATGACAAAACCCATCTCTACTAAAACTACAAAAATTAGCTTGGCGTGGTGGCCTATAATCCCAGCTATCTCAGGAGGCCGAGGCTGGAGAATCACTTGAACCTGGGAGGCGGAAGTTGCAGTGAGCCGAGATCACACCACAGCACTCCAGCCTGGGCGACAGAGTTAGACTCCACCTCAAAAACAAAAATAAGAACTAAGTCTTAGTTTAAATGAGAGTATAGAGGAAATTGGAGATTTGAACCTGACTGAGTGTTAAGCATAAGAGATACATATATAAGAAAAAAGTAGAAAATAGGCAAAGACGACAGGATGGAAATGCCAAAGATATATTCAGAAAGCATTTGAGAAATCAACACCATACTTTAAAGGATTTAAGCATGAACTTCAAATGGAGAGTTTCTGATTGGTAGATTGTCTTAGAAAGTTGAAAGGAGTTAACGAAGTTTCTTAAAATGCAAATTTATTGTTATGAGAATCTTAGTGTTCCACCTGTATTTATTCACCATTTTTAAAATCAGAATTTAAGTATGAACTTTAAATGAAAAGTTTCTTATTGGGAGATTGCCTTAAAAAATTGAAGGGAATGTTTTCATTAATGAAGTTTCCTAAAATGCAAGTTTATCATTATGAGAATTTTAGGCAGTGTTCCACATCTATTTTTTAAAAACTTTTGGCAATCCAATATAGTTTTGATATTTAATATCCCTGTATGATGTTTCATTTTGCAAACCTAGTGCAGTAAACAGTATGTATTTCTAGGTGTTAAGAGCTCAGTGTGCCTAGGATGACTGGTCTGATTAGCTGTTCCAGGCATAAAGAAAATAATAATTATTCTATTTCATTTCATTGTTTTTTTTAAAAAAAAAGCTACATAGAGCTCTAAATTTTTACATCTAAACTAAACATCTAATTATAATTTAAAGCAATACTTTTAGTAGGTATTACTAGGATTTTTTTTTTTTTTTTTCTGCTCGATCTTACTCTGATTTCCCCTAGACTTTAGTACATCTGAAACTCTCTGAATCTCAGGACTAACCAGAGTTGTGATAATTTAGAAATTGCAATCGTTGACTCAATGGAAGGGCAAGCTTTGAATGGGATTTTTTGTTGTTGTTTTTCTTAATATGTTGTCAGCAGATGTTTACTTAAAGAGATTTTTTATCTCCTCTAGGAAGATAAAAATATCAGATGGGCTTCTAGATGGGACTATATTCTGGAGTCTATGCCTCATACCCACATTCAGTGGTTTAGGTAAGATTACAGAGTTAGCCTGCTTTTTGCTTTCTGCTTTTCTACCCTGTGTCCCTCTGAACATCTCATTTACTGTCAGATCCTCTCTGCTTTATTCAAAACACTGGCCTTGGGTTCAAATCCTGCCTTTCAGTTGCTGATTGTGAGTCACAGCAGGTCCCTTAATTTCTCAGCATCTGTTCTTTTATCTAGAAATACCCACCTCATAGGATTGTTGTGAGGATTAAAGAACATAATGGGACAGAGCTTTTGAGGACATTGCCTGGCATGTAAGATTGTTCAGAAACAGAGCTGCTGTTGTTGCTATGACTTTATTATTATTCCCTTCAAACGTGATTCAAAACTTTTATCTAGAAAGCTGTGCGTGCTGCCCTAACCCTCCTTTTCCTATTGCTGTCTCATCTTTTTGACACTCACTAATTTACTGAGTAGTTGTTCTTCAGTAAATTTCTTGAGGGCACAAGCCAGTCCTTTGTTGTGGCAGTGATTTGGGCATAGTAGTTATTTCATAATATTGACCATGTACCAAGAAACTCTAGTTCTAAACAGACTACGAAACAGTATTATGATAAGTATATAATGTTATTTATCTGTCTACTTGAGGGAAACATGAAAGAACACAGTTCGTTGAATTTGTGGATTTTAGGTAGTTTTCGTTTTGAGATTTTGATTGTCTGTTTTAATGTTACTCATTAAAACAGTAAAGAGTTTTTAAAAGAGTTTTACAGTTCCTAGGATTAAGCTACAGAGTAATCATGATGTGCTTATTTCTACAGCATTATGAATTCCCTGGTCATTGTCCTTTTCTTGTCTGGAATGGTTGCTATGATCATGTTACGGACACTGCACAAAGATATTGCCAGATATAATCAGATGGATTCTACGGTAAGTGGAAACATTTTAACTAGTCTTTAGCCTGTCAAGGACGCTGTTTATTGTTATTTTGGGAAAAGGTGAAATAATAGCTTAGAATCTGCTTTTAAAACATTCTTCTAAAAAAAGAAATTCTCCTCAAAAGCTATCTTGAATTTACACTTTCAAATAAGAAAGCAATACTTAAGAATTGTTATTCTTGGCCAGGCGTGGTGGCTCGTACCTGTAATCCCAGCACTTTGGGAGGCCAATGTGGGCAGATCACCTGAGGTCAGGAGTTCAAGAGCAGCCTGGCCAACATGGCGAAACCCTATCTCTACTAAAAATCACAAAAATTAGCCAGGCGTGGTGGCAGTTACTTGTAGTCCCAGCTACTCAGGAGGCTGAGGCAGGAGAATTGCTTGAACATGGGAGGCAGAGGTTGCAGTGAGCTGAGATCATGCCACTGCACTCTAGCCTGGGTGACAGACAGAGCAAGACTGTCTCCAAAAAAAAAAAAAAAAAAAGAATTGATATACTCTAGAAATTGAGTCGTCAGTTGTCAGCACCGGAGCTGACGTGCTCACAAGCCTCCCCTGTCGGAATGGACTGGTGCAGCGTGGGGTGTAGTTGTGCAGTTACAGTTCCGTTTGGATTCTCCATCCCTGACACGTACCCAGTTTGTCAAACCACAAAGCTGAATGGAATAACTCCTGAGCAATTTTTATTTGTGTGTTTAATTTTTTTAAATTAATTTTAACAAATTTGTATCATTTCTACCTTTTGGTGTATTCAAAATAATTGCATGTCCCAGCCTCTGTAGTCTCAAATTTTTTAAGTTACAAAATGTTATACATTTTCTACTCTTCATTTCATAGCAGCATAATAAAAGAATTTTCATAAGAATCACAGTAATTTGGAATGAATGCAAACTCAGTTTTTTATTATATTCTCTTCCCCTAGCTTCTTAAGCCTCCTCTCCCCCAACCTGTCACCTGTTCTGATTGGGAAAAATATATATGAATATTTATAAGCTTTTAATATTTGTACTCTATACCCTCTTTCCTATGATTTTTATTTATTTTGTGTCTTATTAAATATTATATTAATTTTAAAATACTCTGCTCATAATTGGCTATTCCAAATAATTGCTGTTAATGGAGTTTTGTCTTAATTTGCACAGCGTCGCCCTGTGGCACACGGGCCAGTGATGTCCCTGCTTCCACTCCTGTCCTACTTCCCATCTTTTAGCACAGCAGTCAGAGCAAAACTGCTCAAACAGAAATGAGATCATTTCACTCCAGAGCACAGCCCTCCAGGAACTTCCTGTTCACTCAGAGCCAGAGTTAGGGGCTTTACACTGGCCTCTAAGGCCCCATGCTACCTCAGCACCCTGCTTCACCTATGCCATCTACCTTGATGTTCCTCAGACGGGGCAGACACAGATTCCCACCTCAGAGCCTTCACACTCACTGTTTTATCTGCTTTGGATGTCCATCGCTCATTTACATGACTAGTTCCCTTACCTCCCTCCAATCTTTACAAAATGTGATCTTCCCTTTGAGTCCCTCCCATCCATTCCATTTAAGTTACATCCTATCCTGCACATACCCACACATCCTGTTTTTTTGTGTAGTGCTTATTACCATCTAATGTACAGTATACTTTTGTGACTTGTTTTGTTTATTGTCTTTGCAATGAGAACATGTACTCCTGAGAGTAGGGATTTTTCTGTTACACTCACTGTGGTATCTGGTGTTTTAAACAGAGCCAAGCTTATAGTTGGTTATCCTCTGGGGAAAAAAGTCTCGCACATTTAGATTCACAGGATTCTTCTAATTTAGGGGCAATAAAATATGAAGTACTAGTCGGAAATTCACCAAATTTACAGTAAAGGACAGATTTAGATCTCTAGAGATTCCAGACACTGGAACTCTTCATTGCAGATAAAACATATGAAAAAGTAATAGCTCAGAATTTTTCAGACTAGATGAAAAGTAAAAATCCATAGATACAGAAAACAGTGTATCCTGAGCAGAATAAATAAAAAGAAATCCACATCTACATCAATTGTGACAAAACTATAGAACCTTAGAGAAAGGAGATTATCTTAGAATCAGCCCAAAGGAAAAAAGACTCAGCATCTACCAAGGAAAAACAATTAGATTGATGATGGAAGTGCCAAGACTAAATATCGTTAAATTGGCGAGAGGAATTATTTACATAGAATTGTGTACACAGAGAAGTCATCTTTCAAAAATGAAGATGAGGCCAGGTACGGTGGCTCACACCTGTAATCCCAACACTTTGGGAGGCCAAGGTTAAAGAATTGCTTGAGCACAGGAGTTCAAGACAAGCCTGGGCAACATAGGGAAACCCCATCTCTACAAAAAAATTTAAAAATAAAAAATTCACTGGGCATGGCGGTGGCTTACACCTGTAGTTCTAACTACTCGGGAAGCTAAGATGGGAGGATCCCTTGGGCTCAGGAGGTCAAGGATGCAGTGAGTTGTGGTCACACCACTGCACCCCAGCATGGGCAACAGAGACCCTGTCTCAAAATTTAAAAAAAATAAAAATAGAGAAGAAGAATGAAGGTGAGATGTTCATCTTTTAGAGATGAATAGAAACAGTTGACTTCAAGCTGATCTTCATGGAAAGAATTTATAGAAAACTTGAGCAGATAATAAATAAATAAAGTGAATCCTAAAGGGAGATTTAGGATTGGTGAACAAAGAAATTCCATGTAAACCTTTTCTGTGTATAGTAAGTCTAAATGTAGAGGTTAGCAAATGTATATCAACAAGAGAAAAACAGATGCTTTATTGAATGGTATTGGGATAAAGGGGGAGAAAAGGTAAATTCCAACTTTATTACTTAAAATAATGATTTACATGAGAATCTATCAAACACTGGAAGAGCATATGTTTAAATCTTAACGAAAGGTAGAATTTTATAAGTATCACAGAGAGACAAAAGCCATAAAAGAAATTATTGCTCTGTGATTACTGTTTGTTCACCTGGTGCATTGGCAGAAATATAAATGTTTAATATAAGTCTGTGTTGGGGAATTGAGGACATGAGGATGTAAAGTGATGTAACCTTTAGAGAACAATTTGGCAATATGTGTTGTAGTTTATAATATAAATTGACCCAAAAATTCCATTTGTAGAAATTAATGAATGCAGAAGATTTTTTTTTAACAATAAGCATCTTGTTTTTTATAAATAGCAGAATATAAACAACCCAAATATCTGTCAATAGGGAACAAATTTTGTAAATTATAGAATATCCATATTGTAAAATACTATGTAATCACTAAAAAGAATGAGGTAGCCATATATACAAAGAGAAGCATCTTCATGATGTCATTAGACTAAAAAAGCAAGATATAAAACAATGTGTATAATATGCAACCGTTTTTGGGGGAAAAAAATGAGAAAATCTATTCATGCATTGCTTATATATAGGTAGAATATCTCTGCAAGAATAACAAGAAGCTAGTCACATTGGTTTGCGGCAGAACAGGGAGCCTTTCTCTCTGGGGGAAACTTAGTTTTCACTTACACCCTTTGATATTTTTAGTGCCTGCTTAATAAAAAGGAATCAGAAATGGCCCCCTGTTAATACTACCCCACCTAAAAGAAGAGATGCATGTTTTCCTCCCCTGCTTTTTAAGAGACATTCACAAATCTAAAGAGATTAGAGTGCCCACATTCTAGTCCAACACTTAATAAACTCAGGTTCAATCTTGTTTCCATCTGTGGAATTCCACCTGTGCCCACCAGGTTTTTTGAAGCCAATCCCAGATATAATTCACTTAGAGCCTACATACTTCTAATAATACTTCAACTTTGTACATTCCTTGCAAATGACCAAGCAGAGTCTAATTCCCAAGTGTAGGAAAGTATTTTATACCAAGGGGAGGTAAATATTTTGATTTTTACTATTGCCTTAAAAGTTAGATGTTTTTATTTATTTATTTGTTTGTTTGTTTGTTTATTTATTTTTGAGACAGGGTCTCACTCTGTCGTCCAGATTAGAATGCCGTGATGCAATCTTGGTTCACCACAACCTCCACCTCCCAGGCTCAAGTGATTGTCCTGCCTCAGTCTCCCGAGTAGCTAGGATTACAGGCGCATGCCACTACCGCCCAGCTAATTTTTGTATTTTTAGTAGAGATGGGGTTTCACCATATTGGCCAGGCTGGTCTTGAATTCCCGACCTCAAATGATCTACCCACCTCAGCCTCCCAAAGTGCTGGGATTATAGGCATGAGCCACTGCTCCCAGCCTAGATATTTTAAAAGCAGGATTAATGCCTCTGTACAGTTTTCCACATTTCAAATTTCTGTTGATTTATATTTACTTAAAAATATAAATTTAATATATTAGCAATAGCATTGTCTACTGCTTGAAAAGGTAGTAGTTTGAATGGGGATTCCAGGGAGGGATGCCAAGGTACCCTTGAGGGAATGTTGACAGAGGAAGCTGAACAAGCAGAGGCCAGATTCCAAAGATCTTGTAAGCTGTACAGTTTGAAGGTCATCGAGAAGCTGTTGAAGAATTTTAAACTGCAATGATATGACCAGATACATGTTTTAAGAAAATTACTTTGAATATTATGTTGAGAATCATCCAGTGCAGGGCAAAATTGGAGTTATAGAGACCAGTCAGGAGGCTGTTACAGAATTCCCAGAGACCAAGGAAGGTGGCACGGAGGAAGGAGCTGAGTGGACAGATAAATGTGGAGTATGTTTGGGAGGTGGGATGGAGCTGATTGACTAGTTAGTGGTGGAGAGTGTAGAAGCTGAAGAAAAGTCAGTGAATGACCCCGGGTTTCTGGCTCAAGCCACCAGAATGATCCCTCTGGCTGCCGTATTGAGGATCAACTGAATAGTGGCAAGGGCAGGAACAGACAGGTTTAGTGTACATTCAGTAGTCAGGTAAGATGGGTTGACTTGAACCAGGAGGGTGGTGGGCATCCTATGGATATATTTTGGTGGCAGAGCCATAACATTTGTTAGAAGGTTGTGTGCAAGGTAGGAAAAGAAGGGAAAAATCATGGATGACTCTGGGGCTTGGGGAACTGAGAAGCTGGAAGGATGGAGTTTTTATCTACTGGAATCTGTAGGAAGAGCAGATTTAGGTGGGGAAAGACAATTAATAATCTGTTCAGTTATGGATAATTCCGTTTAAGATGTGTATTATACAACCAAGTGAAGCTGGTAATTAGGTACTTGTGTGTGTGTCTGGAGATCAGGGCTGCAGTTTGGGCTGGTGACGCAAACTTATTAATATGTTTACAGCCATGTTTACTGTATTAGCAGAGTAGCTATAATAGGAGAGCTAATGCCATTTGCTTATTGTGGAGATTAGTAAAAGTAGGTTGAAGAGGTTAGAGTGTGACTAAAAATTGTCATCAAGTTGGATCACAAAGCTTGACTTAGAACTAGGTAGCAATCACATTATCTTTATAAAATTTCTCAATAACTATATTTGTAGACCTTAATGTCATAAATTCAGGAAACTGACATAGAAGACAATTCAACAAAGCCATATAAAGCTCCATGAGTCAAGCTCTGTTCTTCAAAATTGAAATAGATACTAACATTTGTAAGTTAAAAAAAAAAAGTTTTTTCTGCAACAGCATATTCATAAATGAAAAAACTGTCTATGGTTGTCTTGTTGATACCATAAGAACATTGAACTGATTTCATTCCGCTTTTAGGAGGATGCCCAGGAAGAATTTGGCTGGAAACTAGTTCATGGTGATATATTCCGTCCTCCAAGAAAAGGGATGCTGCTATCAGTCTTCCTAGGATCTGGGACACAGATTTTAATTATGACCTTTGTGACTCTATGTAAGTGTTAACTGAAAACTTTAAAGTAGAAAATACTTTCTAAATATAATAATTATTTAAAAACCAGTTTTTCTAGGTGGGTAGGTAGGCTAGATTATTTCTGAGAGTCTTTTAGTTCTCAAAATCTGGGTGCTTTGGCTCTAAGTGACTTGGGGCAGGGTTAGCTTCACCCAAAGACTGATTCTTGGTCTCTCCCTTCAGCTCTTCAGAGACAAGCCTTTGTCAGGGAAGCACTGGGCTGGAGGTGAACAGGTCCTGAATACTTCAGCATCTGAGTCTAAACAGCCCAGAACCAGGACCACTTGGGGTCTCAGTTACCCAGCCTTCATGGGCAGGCACAGTCTGATTAGGGTTCCAGGATATTCTTGACTTCCACAGAGGGAGGAGGTGGGAAGAGAGGGGATGGGGCAGGAAGCACTTTATAGACTTTTCTCATCTGGGGAGGATTTAGGAAGCAGGAGCTCTGTTTCTCTAGAGAAATCGAGTGCGTAAGAAAGACCTTCCTCTGTAAGAAGGGCCTCTTTGAGCTACCTCAACAACTTCAGAAATTGTATCTAAATTTTTGCCAACTAGGACAATTTTTTTTTTATTTTAATAGAAGTTCCTTAGAGGTATTGATAGCCCCAGGAGTGGTTCTGAGATGACCTCTGGGTATATGTTAATTCCATTGTCTTTCGGTTTTCTTAATTGGAAGAGAAAAAAATGTTTATGAATAGAATTTTCTAAATTTACCTTTATTTAATGTATTTTACTTCATTGATGCCTGCTACTGATAAGTAACAACAAATGAATATTACTAGGAGAATTCAGAAACTGACCTGTAATAAGTTTTTAGTAAATATTTGTTTTTATGTTTGATTGCATGTTAAATACATACTACTCTAGTGATTTTTTTGTTAGTGAAGTTCTTCTAAATTTTTTGGATGAAATTAATTGTATAAATGCTTTGCAAAGAGCAATATCATTTCCAAATGTCTGGCACTGAATAAGTTTGGGAACCACTGACTCACACCTTCAGGCTCAGTTTGAAGACTAACTAGAACATCTTTTTTGAATCTACTAACAAGGAAATACAGCTTTGATAGGTGCAGCTAGAATTTGTAAGTATGTCACACTAAAGAGAAATATGTCATGCTACAGAGGGTAGGTCAGGAAAAGGCATCTTAAAAAAGGTTTGGACAGAGGGTAGTGTGAAGGCACTGGATGCCAGAGAACCAAAGTAGACTTAGAGCAGAATGAATGCTTGAAGATAAATGGCTTTCAAATCTTACAAGGAGCTGTCTTCCGCCACGGTCTGGTCTTTATTGGGGTCAGCCAGAAAAGTGAACTTTTAAGGAAGGAAAGTTTCAGAGAGCATAGGCTAGAATATGATGGGAATCATTTTCTTTAAGTCCTCAAATAGGAACTTTTGCTGAAGGGCAGTCCATTTTTCAGGCAGGGGAGGAGAAAAGGGTTGCATCTTAGCTGAATCCGGTACATCTTCTAAAACTACCCTGATGTGTTTCCTGCTGATCATGATTCTGGTGCTTTGGTCAGAGACGTGTGTGTGTGTGCTTGGTTACATATGTGCTTGGTCATGCACGTTTTGGGGGAAACAGTAGGGATTTTGTTGCTGCTGGGATAAGAAAGCCATCTGAAACTCTTCTCAGCAGTATCCTACTCACCTTGGGATTCTGAGCACCTTATAACTTCTGAGCCCCAGCTTAAAGCTGGGAATCTCTATGAATATAATATAGCATTTTTATTCTCATTAGTAGGAAGGCTTATAGAGAGAAGAGCAAACAAAGCTAACCACATGAATAAGGTAGGGCCAGGGTTTCCCCACATCGCTGACCAGGTCCTTCAGTGATTTGTGAAAAGCTAATGGCCCTGTAAAATCTTTCTCCCTCATTTTGTTCTTTGATTATCAGATTCTGTATATCTCTTAGTTAGAATGTTGTAAGGTTTTTTTGTTTTGTTTTCTTTTGTTTTTTTACCCCTAGAGGACCCTGTATTTTTCAATGAAAGTGGGAAAATTTCATAGTGGGAACATAATCATTTATGTTAATTTTAAAGGCTCTACTTGAATCTCAGAAGAGCCAAATGCACTTTTGAGCATCCAGTCAGCCTCCCCTGATCACAGGAAGGATGAGGTGTTCTGGACTCCGACAAGAAATTTCCAAAGTGAATTTGCCTCATGTATGATCAGATTGGTGCAATTCATTAAATATTACTAAGATTCAGTATAGCTGCATGGTAGGATAGCACATGGTTTTTCATGAATTAATTAAAAAAATGAGAGTTTCTCCATCATTTCACAACAAAGGAAACAGAATGATACCATGTATAACCTTTCATTACTTGTGTTTTAGTTTTCGCTTGCCTGGGGTTTTTGTCACCTGCCAACCGAGGAGCGCTGATGACGTGTGCTGTGGTCCTGTGGGTGCTGCTGGGCACCCCTGCAGGCTATGTTGCTGCCAGATTCTATAAGTGTAAGTCAAACCCACTGTGACTGGCGTCTGATCAGGAAGGGCCTCTGCTTCAGCTATGGGTCTGACCTGGGTATCAGATGGTGATGCTCTGTAAACAGTGTGCCTCACAGGGGTCTGTTTTTAGTTAAAAGGAGCCTGCTTGGTGATTCCTTTTATGACATGAGTGACTATCCCAAGATTTATTTGTTCGAAAATGTTTAGTGAAACAAGCAAATCGTGGTGCTTACCCACCATCCCCTCCCTCTTTTAATATTTACAAAAATAAACTTTCAAGTAAACTAAGATCTCACTTTTTTGGAGAGCTGGGAAGTTACTTTTGCAATATCATTAGTCACAATCTCTTGTGGTCTTGCTTTCTAGAAGTAAAATAAAGTTCAATGAGAAAAAGGGTCAGGGCCACAGAGCAAGGCCAAGATGGGACTGGATGGCTTAGAAAGCAACTGGCAGGATCAGCGGGGGGCAGAGTTGGCCCCACAGGAATGCCACAGTCTTGTCTGGGATATACAGGGATTCCTTTGGGTCTGTCTATGAAAATGTTTTGTGGTGAAACACAGTGGAGTTACATGGGCAACCTGAAGGTGGGATTGGGTCATCTCAGCCCCAGGTAGAAGATTAACTTAGACCTTGCCAGACACAGTTCTCTCTTGAGTATGTGTAGCCCTGTATGTATGTGTGTTTTAATTTCTGTGAATTTTGTCGAGTTGTTTCTTTCTCCTTTACTAAAGGAGGTAGGATTAGGGTCATCATATGTATTTGAATGCATACAAAATACAGTCGGACCTCTGCCTGCCACACAAGCCTTACTTCATGCTGCACTCCCACTTTCTCACGATTTCAGCCACACTGGCTTTCTGTTGGTTTCTCAGCCAGGCTGCCTGCCTTCTCACACCCCATTGCCATCCACGCTCCTCCCACTACTGCCTCCCATCCTTCAGGTCTCCCCATACCCTGTTCCCATCCATGCTCCTCCCACCCATGCCTCCCTATCCTGCGGGCCTCCCCTCTGCCTTCACACAGCCCATTCCCTTCCATGCCTTTCCCACTAATGCCTCCGCATCCTGCAGGTCTCCCCGCTGCCTTCCCACACACCGTTCCCAGCCACAAACCTCCCACCAATGCCTCCACATCCTGCTGGCCTCCCCACTGCAGATCATGTATTATTTGAATTTTGACTGGAGTTGTGGTAAACCCAGCATCAGTCATTTTATAAGTCTCTTTATCAGAAACACTGTGAGTTCAAATCATGATACACATATATGATTTTACATGTATATATAATTTTACCAATTTCTTTTAGGGCACGTGGCACTTAAACATGCCTATAAGCAATGTTAATTTTTTTTTTTTAAATCACAACTTCTGACATCTCAGCCACTTTAATTTCTGACTTTAAACTGGGAGCAGAAGTGTACTTTCATTTTTTACTCTAGCTACTTCAGTATTTGAATTTTTTAAACTGGAAAAAAAAAAAACAAATTGGAGAGAGGCAAAGGAGAGTAAAACATTTATTAGGAAGCATGTTCTGTCAAACGGCCATAAGCCTTCTACCCTTCTTAGTTGCCTTATCTGACACACTCACTTCCTAGGAACCACAGTGTTAGAGAGGAGTTGGCCTACTCTGGAAATTTAAATGTGTTGCACATAAGGCTTGACAGTTCCCAGTTTTATAACAAATTCTGAGACTGACTGCAAGATAAATGAGAATCCCATGTGCCCTTTCTGTACCTAGGCCCATTGATTGTTACTGGCTCAGGGTTTAAGGATTCTTTTGGTTGTGAGGGGAAAAGAACTGATGACTTTCCTCTGAATCCCTGGAGCAGGACTTATCTAGGGAATCCCATGTTGTATGTCTCAAATTTGGATTATTTAATAAGGGAATATCACATGGTATTTGCTAGTACCATTTTCTAGGAATGAGTACTCAGTGCCGTCTGAAAGTTTAGCAAATACCAGACTTGTAATATAGATATTTGTTTTGCTTTAAAGAGAAGTCTGTATTTATACCACTTTTGTTTCATTCTGTTTAGCCTTTGGAGGTGAGAAGTGGAAAACAAATGTTTTATTAACATCATTTCTTTGTCCTGGGTAAGTGAATTTTTCAAGAATTACTTTCTTAACATAATTATATGTCCCCACATTTTCAGTCTGTGGCTAATCCCCTGTGTCTCGAAATCATGTACCTAAAAAAGTAAATTTAATTTTTGAAAAGGGGTAAAAAGTAAATATTTTATAAACCTTTGCCAAATGATTACACCATGTCTTATCTGGGGAAGTACCTTTAGACATGAAAAATGTTTTAGTTTTCTTCTCTTTGAATTCTTTCTATTTCTTGGTTTTTAGTGGTCAGTCTGATGTGGTGTTCTGTAGGGCTGCATTTAAAGCTTTTGACCCAGTCACAGGAAGGAATCCTTACCTGAAGATAGTTCAGGCAAGCATATGTTTTCCCATTTTTATCTAAAGCATTGCCACTTTTTAGAGGCAATGAAAGTACGGTAAGATACACCAAAAATAAAAAATAAGCAGCCACCACAAATCCAAAACAAAACAAAATCACTTCACTCTCTGGAACTGTGAATTCTCCTCTCAATTATTTGATGTGATTCTGGTCCCAGAAGTAGAACCCATTTCCTCCTAAACCTGCCCATTTCTGGTTGGGAAGAACTGACCTGTGAACAGATCATAGCAATAAAGAAAGCCAAAGATGAAGTCTGGAAAGCAGAACTGTTCCATTTGCAGGCTAGAAACGCAAGCGTGATGGCAGCAGCATTTTAATACACATTTGGGATCAATATTCTCTCTGATTATCACCTCCACCAAAGATTCGCATTCTTTTCAGTTATTGGTTCTATCCAAATTTTTATGCTTTTCTCAAGCCATATCCTTTCTTTTCTTTCCCTCTGTCAACTCATGAGAGTGTCCTTCCTTACAAGACTGATTTCCTGCAGAATCTCCAAATCTTGCTTTTCAGGCATCTCTCCCTCCAATCCCACACATCTTCCATTGCTCCTGTTTCATATGTTCGGCTTATGTGGTTCTTTTATTCCTACAAATATGCTCATGTCTCCCCTAAAAAGGGATCATAAGCATCTTCCCCTCTTATTTCTATCTCATGTCGTTTGTGTTCCCAACAAAATGCCTTGAAAAAAATAGTCTGTACCCCTTTCTTCTCATTTCTCAGTAAACACTTGCAGTGTAAAGCCACATAATCCATATTTTTCTCCATCATTTTACTGAAACTTCTAAGTTTACCAATAATGTTCCCATTTTCAAATCCAGAAACCATTTCCTCTCTCTGCCTCTCTGTATTGTTTTATGTTGGAGCACCTTCTCCTTGAAACTCCTTCCTGTTTTGGCTTCATAGAAATTGTCCTGTGCTGGTTCTTTTATGTCTCTGATCAGCCCTTCTCTGATCGGTATTCTTCATCCTGCTCTTAAGCGTAGGTGTTTACCAGCAGGTAAATAGAGTGTGCTGAGAACTCAAGTATTCAGGGGCTGGGGGACTTGGTGGTCACCTAGGAATAGAGGGAACATTTAATAACAGGAAATCTAGTCATATAATTATACATAAATAAACACCTCCATATAATTATTACAACAGATGCAATAAAATGACCTTTGATAATATTGAGCGTTGTTTTCAGGCTTTAAAAAAATTTAATAGAGAAATATTGCCTTGTATTAAAAAGAATCTTATCTCTACTTCAGAACCAACATCATTGATAATAAAACACTAGGAACATTTATTGGTGCATACTCTTTCATCGCTTGTTATTTAAGTTCTATTCACAGTAAAGGAGGAAACAAAAAGGTGGATTTCATCTTATTATTTATAGATGACATGATTTGTATACAAAGAACACCAATTTTAATTTTAACAGTAAAACTTGTAGAATTAATAGAAAGAGTTTGGCAAATGGCTAAGTATCAACTAATGTTCCAAGATCCTAAATACCACCATTAACCAGTTAAGCGTTTTAATGGTAGTGGTAGTTATGCTGGAAGAGTACTCTATTCATAGAAAACCTACCCAATAGGCCCGAAATAGCCTCTCAAAGTATGCAGAATCTATAAGACAAGCCTAGAAGATTATTAACTAGTAAAGAGACAGAAATTCACCATGTTTCCTGATGAAAAGACCAAGCATTGTGAAGGTGTTTGGAGATGTCCAGGGGCTGCTGGGATGGAGAATACGGAAGTAGATCCTGTATCTATGGCAGCATGCTAGATGTGGCACCATGAGCCAGAGGAACTGTTAGATAAGTGATGCTGGGACAACTGATTCTCTTTATGAAGGGAGAAAGTCTTCCGTTCTAGGTGGCGTCAAACCTAAATGCAACAGGTGTAATTACTGTATGAGAGCATCTTTATGATCCCAGGTTAGGGAAGGCTTTCTTAAACAGAGTACACAAAGGATAAAGGGGAAAATTATAACACTTAAAAGCTGTGTGGGGTAAGTAGAAGTGATTATTGTATGATTACAACCATATTTTTTAAGATGTATTCAGAAGAAGGACTGAAAGGAAATTACACACATTTAGATGTTTGGGTTTAGAAAAACCTACAGACTATGACAAGATATTTAACAAGGATTTAGTAAGTAGAGTATGTAAATAACTCATGTACATGACTTGG